AGGGGGAGCAAAGCAAATATAAGTGGACCAAGTTGATATATATATATATATATATATATATATAATATCGAAACAGTTATTCAACAACGTACTAATCCCCAAAGTTTTATGAAAACTCAATAGTATAATATGTAATAAGTTTTTCCGAAAACCCTAGCATGCCATAAAACCTTCGTAAAACATATATCATATATAATGTGCTAAATAGTGGTATTATTATCGCCCGAAGGCATAGAGAACTCTTCATTCGCCCATAGGCTCTTACAACACCCACCAGAAGGCATATAGTATCAATCGCCCGTAAGCTCCTGCAGCACCCACCCCAAGGCATATATGTAGTGACCACTAGATAAGCACAAAAATCATTGAATATAATCTTTCTACCATAAGTACATATATCTCAACAGAGCTCAGTAGCTCAAACATTATATCTCAAAACATCTTCATAGTATATAGTCATCCATCATATATACAAGAAAGAACGTAAAAATCGATAAAGTATGGTATTCCAAAGTATTCTTAGTAAAGCATGATATTTCATAAAATGTAAATCTAATTTACTCATAAACGTTTCATAAAACGTAACCATTAAATCATGCTTTTCATGTATGCATTTCTAATAGTAAAATATGCATTTTAGAAAGGGTCCACTCATAGATACCACGTCGTCGAAGTGTCGTGTGAAATAGAAAGGACAAAATCGCCAATGCACCTAAGCACATAAAGGGTACAATTAATAAAACTCTACCATAACGATTGAATTTCAGAAAACGGACGTCATAAACAGATTCAGTATGTTGAAAAACATAATGTGGACCTCGGGTACCCCCACGCGCCGCCATGAGCCAAGATGGATCATCGAAAAGTTGGCCAGAAAAGTTGCCAGCACCACCACGATGGAGTGTGTGCTCCACTTACCGGCACTGGCAACCTTTCACGTGTACCCATGTGTAGGCGGCGGCTCGTGTGCCCCACTTGCTGGCACTGGCAACTTTTCACGCCCACCCACGTGCAAGCCCACGCACCACTCACGTGCAAGCCCACGCGCCACTCACTTGCGACTTGGGTTTTGGGGTTCGATTGGGCCTGGGCCGAATCCTGGGCTTGGGTTCTAACGGGCTTTGGGCTTAAAAGCCCAGCCCAAAGCTTTGGGCTAGAGGACCCTCCAATTTTGCTAGGGAGAATACCTAAGCTTCCCAAGCTCTGATCGACTCCATTACTCAACCCTATGGTGTGATCTAGTTATCAAATTGAAACTTAGGAGGAGAGGAAGAGATTCGCACCTACAACACACCGTGAGGTGGCCGGAGTTTGGTTCGAAAGTCCCGGGGCTCGCCAGAGTCTCTAACCTCTTGCACCAATTTCCATGGTGCTACTTTCTTGGTCCTGGGTTCGAAGGTTGGTGTATGTGGGTCATGGGTTCGAAGGTTGGTGTGTGTGTGTGTTTGTCGTCGAAGAGGGGAGAGCACCGAGAGAGAGAGATCTGCGAGAGGGATAGAAAGTGTGAGCTGAGAGAGAGAGTGACTCAGGGGAGAAGAGAGAAGAGGGAGCTGCCACGTGGCAGGCAGAGAGGAGAGGAGAGTGTTAAAATAATAGGAAGAAATCCAAAAGGAAGGGGGAAAATCCGGATTGGGTAATGGATAAGGGCAAAATAGTAATTTCATAATTTTGTTAAAATGAAAATATACATAATTTGGGATGGGGTTTCACAACGGGTCGTTACACCTATAAACGGGTCGGGTTTACTGGGTTTAGATCGGGTTCAACCCAACCTGTTAATTTAATGAGTCACATGAACTCAACCTGTTAAGCTAACAAGTCACCCAAATCCAACCTGTTAATCTAATAAGTCACATGTTTCACTCATTAACACCCGTTCACAATTTTTGTTTTTTGTTTTTTTTTGTTTTTACATTTTGCATTCCAATACTAATTACAGATCTTTTAACCAAAATTACAAACATTAACTAACAGTCTAACATCAAATATATATAACTCATTAGGGTTTTACAAAATGTGAAGCATAGCTATACGTCATGGGGCAATGCCGTATTCAACATCATCAAGATATACTGCCAAATTACATAGCTACTTCAAGGAAGAATTTGCATATCGAACACCCAAAAATCTGCAACACACCCAGAGAACACAATTAATTTAGAATCACAGAACAAGATTTGGCTTACCAGACTAAATTTGAAACAAAAAACGCAATTATGTCATTCTGCTTTAGTGCCACGCAATGTCCCAATACTTATAAGGCCAAGCCTGATAAAAGTTGGCTTCCTGGACTAAATTGGAATTATATTTCATGACAAGTCAAGGCCAAGGTGGTACTTAACAAGGTGCAAACACAATTATATCACAAAACACAAAGGATGCATGCAGTGTTAATTGTTTCTATTCATTTGCCCCAATAGAAAGAAAAAACGGGATAAAGAAGTGAAATTTCCGTTAGTTTTGATACCAAATGAACAATAAAAGTAAGCATTAATCTTGCGCAATCCTTCCTAATTATTAAACATCACAGAAAATATCTTTAAAAGAACAAGGGAATTCTAATTCGGGTGCAAAGGGTGGGCGCCAAATGGCCTAACTCACATCTACCAATAGTTTTGACCTTCTACTTCCTGGAACATATATATTGTAGCCCAAAAAGCACCCAACTGCTGAAGTTTAGCTCAAAAATTGACATATTAGGTTCCAAGAATGCAACTTTAAGCTGTGAAAATTCAAATGGGATCAATACAATCGTGCTTAATAGCAGGAAATGGGTGGCTTAAAAATTCAATCTTTTTGGACTTTCCAAAGATTATAATTGCTAGACAAACGAATACCCAATTGGTTTTGAGCAAATTAAGCACTTCAATGTTCAACTAACTACTTATAAGGTTGAATAAATCCAAGCTCAATTTAGTTTTATCGATGACAACTAATCCTCAATGCATAACAAAAGTAATGCTTACAATCAGTAAACTAGATTCTGGTATCGAGGAGATTGGGAATATCAAGCATGCCAGCAAGAATTGAGAATATGAAATAGCATCGAATCTAATTCCAATATGCATTCCCTCTAAAAGGATTAAAGGGCATCAATACCATGAAGGTTTGAGTTGGCATAAACAATCCAATTAACGAGATTGCAGATGACAACAAATGCATTTTCAGAGAATGCAGAAGAAAAGCCTCCATAGCTGTAAAAATTGATTTCCCTTAATTGATTTGAGTGTAAAGAATACTTATCACATTTTTTATATTATATTTGTACTACATTTTAAATAAAAGTAAAACCCGACAACACATGCGAATTCTATTTTTATTTAGTAAAAATGTGATATAAAAATGTGACAAGGGTAACACATGAAGGGAGACCAACTGTTCATGCCAAATGATGTGTCACTAATAAGAAGTAAACATGTTAATTGACAGTTAATTAATAATCCAATCATTAACAACCACATAATTTGGTTTACACAATTTGGCCTCCCTAGTATTACGGTTTTGTAAGTATTAACTATTTAGTAAAGGCTTATTTTCTTACTATGTTCTTGAGACTTGATTTTTAGTCTCATAACTAAATTTGTTTTCGCTTAATCATATAAAACTCAATTTTTATCTCACTTTATCATAGTTGTGTCAACTTTGTCGAAGAAGCGTTAAGCTTGGTTATAAAATATGATCACATGGTACAACTAGTCTGGACGTTTAGAGTTTTGGGCAGACGACATGGATATTAAACCATTAATATCACATTTTTAATCATCGTGTTAAGCTCGGGGTCCATTGCCATTGTCTCAAACGTAGCCGGGGGCACCTGTCTTATCGACCCATTCACAATTGTCGTCATCGTCGTAGTGCGAATATGAATTTTGTGTATAAATTTTCGCGACTCTGTCTTGTTTTTTAATTGCATTGTGTTTGGACTGAAAATAAACAATTATTTTCACTTTAAGCACTGATGGGTATTTATTTTAAACAAAAATTAACAATGCGTCGGCTTAAAGATTTCAAAAGTATTTTACACGTGGTGTTGTAGAGCTTCAGTTGATGTGCAATTCTACACTAAAGCCTAATGCTTTGTTTCTTTCTTTTTTTTTGGGTAAATAACCCTAATGCTACTTTCCCCGTTTTTCTGGTATTTATTTTTTGAACATATTATTTACACTAAGGAGAATGGGTGAGTTTAACCTCACAATATGTTAGTAATAATGTGGTTTAAACTTATCTTTAGAGAGAATCAAATCTAAGATCTCTCATTTATAAATAAAAATGAATACCACTAAACTGTAATATTTATTAAACAAATGATTTTGATAACCTTTTTTCCTAGTCAAACGAAGATATTGTGAGCTTTTTCGGTGAAAAAGTTATTGTGTAGTACTAGAATATTGTCACTTAAATAAAGAGTAAAATGAAACTGATTTCCTAAATTAAGTTTACAAAATAACATATTATCCCATATCGTGGACATAATGCAAATTTATATTAAATATATGTATCAATTTTAAGGTAAACTACCAAGTTCAACATTCCATTTGGATTAAGCTATAATTTGAAGGAAGACATTTATAAGCATAGGAAAATTTGAAGGAATACATTAATAAATATTTTTAATTCCTGTAATACTCTTATTAAACAATAAAAAATGACATTATTTATCCTTCAAAACACATTTTATACTTAAAGAACAATGTGACTGCCATCACCTACCCCCACCCAACCTAACCTCTTACACCACCATTGCCATGACTGTTGAATATATCATTCTAGCTCAACTATAGTTAGTTAGACGGTTGAGAATGTGGCTGCGTTGTTATAGCTGTTATTGAATTAGTTAGTCATGATGGCTATATAAAATGTATTCTCATAGTTGTAAATATTAATTCAGTATCAATACCATCAATTGTTTCTCTCTCTAAACTCTCTCTCTCTCAAACTCTCTGTGTTCATCTATTTCTCTTCATCTTTCTTCTTGATTTTCTCTTCAATTCCCAAACACTACAATGTAGTTAACATGGTATTAGAGCCACCAGGCTCACGCCATGATTCTGGTGGTTCCGTTTTTCATTAGATTTTGTCATTTTCATCGTTTTCATTTCATTAGATTTTCTCTTCAAATTTCTTGAATTTTCCGTCAAGTTCTTCAGTGGGGTTCCAGAGAGATGAAGTTTTGATCATTCCCAACTGGGTTTTGGAAATTCGATCAGAATCCATCACGTGGGCTCTCAACAGAACAACAAATGCTCAGGTGCAAGTGTTATTTCATACAAAATTTCGTTCTTGCCGGGTTCCAAGAGCAAGATGGGTCTCGGTCCTAGGTGGTACTACATCCGCCGTGTTAGATTGAATGGTCGATGATTTTTGGTGTTTCTCTGGATGTAATGGTCGATGATTTCTGGTGTTTCTCTGTGCGTTTTGCAATCAAGAACTGAAGATTCATGTTTCATCTTTCTTTATGCACTCCAAATGTTTGTTTGATTGTCTCAGTGAGGAATTCTGTGTTAATTCTTGTATCAAGGTCGATAGCCATTTACTGATTTAGAAGAATATGAAGGCCGATTGCCATTTCTTCTAAGTGACAGATAGATTCTTTGATTAAATATTGTTTGCGATTTTGTGCACTCGATATTGTGTTGAATGCAATTTGTTTCCTCCATAAGGCCGATAGCCGGAGTGAAAAGTTCTGTCTCAGATATTGTGTGTTACTCCTTAAAGGCCGATAGCCGAAGTAAAGTTCTTGAAAAGTTTTGTTTGTTGTTATTGTGTGCAGCTCCATTAAGGCTGATTGCCGGAGTGCAGTTCTTGTTCCCTTTCTTCATTGAAGGCCGATTGCCGAAGAGGGTGTGTTTCTTGATTTCTGTGATTGTAAAGCAAATTTGAAAATGAGTAGTGATTTGACGAACCCACCTGGACTGGTCGTATTAACCGCTGTGATTGTTCTGCATTTCTCAAGTCAATAATTTTCTCCCCCGTTGAAAATAAGTTCCAGATTAATGTGCCCATGATGTATAATACAACTGAGACCTTAAATACATCATCCCAAAAACCTCGTTGGAGTATGTAGCCGGTTGCATCTGTACCGAAGACACCAGCAAGAACTCCTGCTGTGTTTGAGAGTCCCAGCAATACTCCAGCATAGCGAGGTCCAATGTCTTGGTGGTTGGAGTAGAGACCCGATTGTGAAAATGCATCAGATCCCTGACTGCATGCTATGCATAGTACTCCCATTACAGGTGTCTTGACACGGCTCATCAGTGTGAGGAAAAAGGCTGGTCTCAAAAACCCAATTGATTGCATGATCTTGCGAACTGTTGTTACAGAGAAACCTTTGCTGACAAGTGCATTTGCAATCCAGCCTCCTATATTTGCAAAAATAGCCATTGTCAACCATGGCAAGACGCAAAGGAGCCCGGATTCAGTGAGGTTGGATTTCAAAACCTGATTGTAGTATGTTGGCATCCATGTCAATAGAATAAATGTTCCCCAATTGTGGCAAAAGTGGCAGACTATAAGAGTCCAAACAGGTGGTTTTGATAATATTAGCTTCCAAGGAATGACCTTATATGTTTCCACCCATGATAAGCTCTTTTTCCTCTGCGCTAAGCTCCGAATCTTCTTTTGGTGTCGCTATGCCTGCTATGAATAACATACTCTCTAAATGGATTCTAATGTCTGAGAGAAGCAGAGTACTTTAATTGGTATATACTGGCATGTACCTTGGTTCTGCTGTCTCTCCGATTCTAATCCAGAAGTTTAAATGGCCATGTGTGTTTTACTCATTTGGCTTCAATCTCAAACTGGGAAACCCAATTGAGATTGAGGGGGGATGTTGAATATATCATTCTAGCTCAACAATAGTTAGTTAGACGGTTGAGAATGTGGCTGCGTTGTTATAGTTGTTATTGAATTAGTTAGTCATGATGGCTATATAAAATGTATTCTCATAGTTGTAAATATTCATTGAGTATCAATACCATCAATTGTTTCTCTCTCAAACTCTCTGTGCTCATCTATTTCTCTTCATCTTTCTTCTTAATTTTCTCTTCAATTCCCAAACACTACAATGTAGTTAACAATGACCACCACCACAACCATAACCGTCACCACTACCACCACAACCACAACTTCCACTACCATTGTTGCTACCATCACCACCACCGTCACCACTATCATATACAAAACTGGCATCATCGCCGTTGTTGTTGCCCTTGCCATTATTGTTAACTTTGCAACCCATCCACTGCACCCCTTTATTGCAGCCCAAGCGCCAAACCCCTTTATTGGCACCACCACCACCACCATCACAATCATTGCCCTCGCCGTTATTGTCATTGGCATCACCCCCACTATCATGTTTATTTTTGTCATTATATACAATTATATCCCTTTTACATTAAATATTACCAAACACTTACACTATTTTTCATACTCACAACACTTCTAAAATACAGTTTACTAAACGCTTAATTTCTTTAATTTGCAGCTGATCACTCTTAAAACACAACAGAAGCAGTTAAAAAAACATATATTCTGACTAAAAGTTTAAACTTGTTATTTAAACTTTAAACTATGTTGATGCACAAAATCAGCGAGACTTTGGAACAATGTGAAGTGTCGAGTTTATGACCTTCGCACGGTTACTCCGGTCACTTAGTGAGGATAATATATAAAGATATAGAGATAGGGAAGCAAACACAAGATTAGGGATGGCAACAGGGCGGATTGGGTTCGTATGTGCCATCCCCATAATCGAACCCGTTTGTTTTCCCCATACCTGAAATCGTAAAAAACCTGAACGGGTATTCTCCGTAACCGAATCAGTCCGGTAACAGATTCTCTATTGGGTAACGGTTTTCCAATAATCATAAAATTTGACTGATTAAATAGTGAGACGGACGAGGAGGCTGATGGTGTTTCGGTGGTTGGTTCTCGGGGTAGAGGAGTTCTCATTAATAGTAAAAGGTTTACACAAATACATAGGTTCAAGCATAATCATCATTAGTGGGTTCTAATGACTAGTTTAAGTACAATAATGACATTAGGGATTCATTGTAGGAGAATGGTCTTCTTTGATTGGCCTCCTGGTTGGAGGGAACCCCTTGTGCTTCGGCAAGGGTGCCTTAGCATGAATCCTTCAGTAAGTCCTTGAAGGTATGAAGTTGATTAGTGCTTGGTAGTTTCGGGATTGGTCAAGTATGATACAAACAATGTTCCCCTAGGTTCTTGAGTGAGGAAAGCTTCTTGATTGGGAACTTGAAAAATCCAAAGTCATTGAGTAATCACAAAACTTCTGAGTATCGAAGTGTAGTAACATATTGTCATGCCCCGATCCCGACATATGTCTAGGATCGACACGTGACGTCACCAAATACTCGTATATCTCACATATCCCATCTTTGGGATATGGCAAATCACAACTCGAAAATCAAATTGCAAAGTAATTTTTCGTTTACTTTATGGCTGCATCCAATCTCTTCGTTAGACTGCCTACGTACCTTCAATAGGGATCAAGCCATTCGTAGTTCACTTATCACAAAATTAGACGTTTATTCCACTAAGTTCAAGCAGAAAAGCATAGCATTCCTCAATTATTTATTATAAACTGACAACATGTAATTCCTAGATGTAGGCTACATAACCAACTCCAATGAAAACAAGATTTCTCTCCTATCCAACATATAAATCATTATGTCTCATCATGATATCGCAATTCACAACATACATCATATTTAAGAACCGACGAAACACAAAATCATTCTCTAGCTGCATTAATTAATTAATTTGATCAAAGTAATAACAATTATTCCCATATCTTCTAAATTCATACCTTATGAAATCATAATCGATCGTAGAAAATCCCGAAAGAGTCACTTAGACGTCCAACATCTTTTCTAACTCAACTCACAAGATTCTCGAAACCATTGACACAAATATGTATAAAACTAAGGCTAGAGTGACACAGTTAGGCCAAGCATACTGTTGTAAACTGAAATAGAAAGGAACGAAGTTACCCGAAAAATGTAGAAGCCTTGAGTGGTGAATGATTCTTGGGATGAGTCACGGACTAAGTCGCTCTCTTTAAGACGTTTCGCGGCTCTGCCCAAAGTGCAAGCAGTTCACAAACAACACGTCGTCCCCAGGATAAAACAACCCAGAATCTTCTTCTTCTGATAAGATTCTTCCTTGCACACCGGAAGAACCTTTGAACTCACACCCTCTCAATATGTTGGTTTTTAAATCAATATTTGTAAAAACTTTTTTTTTCTCATCTGTATTTTTTATATATATACCATCTTCCTATATATATATATATATATATATATATATAAGTAGACGTAAGAAATCAAGGGAGTTAAAGGGGATTTATGGGGTGCAAAATGTCTGCAATCAAATGCAAAACCGCAGGGAATCAAATGCAAAACTGTATGCAATCAAAGGTCGATAACAATTTAAGTTTTATATTTAATGTTTGTAATAAACCGAAATATAAATATATTTAAAATATTTAAATAAAAACATAACTGCTCTAACAATCCCCAACTTGTTTTTATTTAAAAAATATATATCAAGCAACATATCATAAAGCTATGCATAAGTAAAGGTGTTTCTCAACTTGAACCTGTACATAGTGTTAGTGATCCAGATTATACTACAGTAACTTATTGTCTTGAACTCTATCTCTGACAACACAACACATATAACTTTATTAAGATGAAGTTCAAAAAGCCAGCACATTACGACCATGTGCTTGTATCTCAGTATAGTGAACGTTCTAGAAACTTGCCCAAGATTTCATAGGAAGCGGCCTCACTTCCACATTCACATAGGTAAGACTATCAAGGATATTCCTGTAACTAGATATCACACTCAACATAGAGTATAGACCTTACTAAGAGAAAAAATCTCAACCTAAAAATGCTTCAGGATGTCATGCTTCGTAGGGATGGACATGGAATAATATTCCAAATTAAAATTAGCAAGGCTTCACTCATATCACTTGTGACTTGTTATTACCATTTGAACCTATTTCTTGGGATCTCCAGTCTATAGGTTGGGTTGCTATCATAAATGACTCAATTTTCTACAGGCTTTAGTCCCATCCCTTTCAAGGTTTTTCAAACCTTTTCTCGTGTTAGTCCTTTCGTCAAATGATCAATCAAAATTTCTTCAGACCGTATATGACTGGAATCGGTTTCTCCCATAAAGGGGTATCTGATAGTAGGTTCATAAATTTTAGAAGAATTAGAACCCCCACTATTTCAAAGATTAAAAGGAAATTTATTCTCATAAAAATCAGCATCAAATGACTCAATTATGACATTTTTAATAGCATCAACATTCAATTTAAACTTTTCATCAGTAGCATATCCCTTTCCCACAAAAACCCCATTTTTAGTAAGAGTATACGGATATGCTCCAATGGTTTGAGTAAATCCAGTCTTATTGAGAAGAAAGCCCGAGACCAAATTCTTCTTTATTGCTGGAGCGTGCATGCATCACATCTTTCAGTATCATGGTTTTTTCAGAGGTGAACCTCAGCTCCATCTCTCAAGTACCAGCAACATCAGTTAAGTGCGAATCACCCAACAACACCTTCTTTCCCTCAACCACAGAATAAGTCTTGAAAAGAGAACGATCATAGCAAACATGGTGAGAAACGCCAGTGTCCACCCACCACCCATCAGATCCATCAACAAAGTTGATTTCTGATATCATTGCAATCAGTTGCTCTTCAACAAGATTTACCTGTGGAGCATGGCTTTTCTTATTTCTGCAATTCTGGGCAAAATGGCCCAGCTTGTGACAGTTATAGCATTCAAACCATCACGAATCAGAAGCAACACATGAGGGGGGTTGGTACCTATTCTAGAGATGAGAGGGTTTTTTGATTCTGAACCTTGTTTGTGTTGTTGTTGAGGCGCTTGTTGTGATTCTTGTTCTGAATCTTCATGTTCTTCCCATTTGGCTTCAGCACAGCTAGAGTTTCCAATTGAAGTTGGTAGCCTTCTGGTTGCTTGACACGACCAAAATTTCCTCCTTCAATTCTTGTTTCCTGGCCTCTTCCTCAATGAGAAGTCAACTGATCAAGCTTTCCAGGGAGAACTCTTTTGTCTTGTGGCGGAGTGAGTTCTTGAAATTTTTCCAGGTTGGTGGCAATTTATCCATGATGACAGCAACTTGAAATTGATCATCTAAAACCATACCTTCAGAAATAATTTCATCAGTAATTTTCTGTAATTCATGAGATTGTGCTTCAACAGATTTAATAACCATATGATATTTCAAATAACGACCAACATCAAATTTCTTAGCTCCTGCTTCCTCAGTGTCATATTTTTCTGAAGTGCCTCCCATAAATCTTTAGCAATACCATAATCAGAGTAGTAGTCATAAAGGTCATCAGACAATCCATTAAGTATATAATTCTTAGCAAGAAAATCATTTTCAATCCAAGTTTGTAAAGCTTTGGTCTGTGCAATAGTGGGCTCTTCAGGGAGAGTTGGTTTGATAGTGGTGCAAAAAGAAGCCAATTTTTTTGTGGTGACAAAAAATAACATCTTCTGCCTCCAACGCTTAAAGTGGAGACCCTCAAACTTGGAAGGCTTGTTAAGGTCGAGTGTGGTGTTGTTTTCAGATTCCATGGCAGATTGATCTCGTCTTAAAATTGTTGTAAACTGAAATAGAAATGAACAAAGTTACCCAAAAAATGTAGAAGCCTTGAGTGGTGAATGATTCTTGGGATGAGTCGCGGACTAAGTCGCTCTCTTTAAGACGTTTCGCAGCTCTACTCAAAATGTGCAAGCAGTTCACAAATACTACGTCGTCCCCAGGATAAAACAACCCAGAATCTTATTCTTTTGATAAGATTCTTCCTTGCACACCGGAAGAACCTTCGAACTCACACTTTTTCAATATGTTGGTTTTTAAATCAATATTTGTAAAAACTTTTTTTTCTCATCTGTATTTTTTTATATATATACCATCTTCCTATATATATATAAGTAGACGTTAGAAATCAAGGGAGTTAAAAAGGATTTATGGGGTGTAAAACGGCTGCAATCAAATGCAAAACTGTTTTCAATCAAAGGTTGATAACAATTTATGTTTTTTATTTAATGTTTGTAATAAACCGAAATATAAATATATTTAAAATATTTAAATAAAAACATAATTGCTCCAACACCTACTTCTCCAAATAATGGGTTTTTAGACTATTCCACGAAATTCAACAACCTCGGGTTCCGAACCACTCAACAGAACCAAACTAAATATGATCGCCTATCAAATGTACCAAGTACAACTAATCATCATCATCTCTAGAATGCGTATGGTCCCCCATCGCGGATATACCAAGCAGAACCATAGACATAATCTCATCATGCAGTGATCACCCATCGCGGATATACCAAGCAGGACTATATCATATAGCTCTAGGTAGTGATCACTCATCGCGGATATACCAAGCATGATCACTCCTAGCATGTGTATGGTCCCCCATTATGGATATACCAAGCAGGACCATCCATGTACCACTACTACATGGTGCAATCTCATCATCACACATTATACATAATTATACGCATACATGCTATCGATTCCCCATATCAACCAGCATCTAGTCATATGGAGCACAACACAAGGAATTCCCTTAATTACTATTTCTACTAAAAATCTAATAAAGTACCTAACTCATCTCCTGACTTTCATCTTCATCTCATGCTAGGTAGTAATGCCAAGTTCAAATAGGTATTCAGTTGGCAATCATATCCAAATAATTATCAAACAATATTTAGATCCCATAATTGTCATAACATTCATCATAATTATCAATCACATTATTAAAGAGATAATTAAACACGTATATATCACAAACATCATCAGTACACAAGCCAAATCCTATTTAATAAGCATAGGTCTATGGTTAAATATATAAAAATCACATTTCAATAGAAATCATATTTATAAGACAAAATCATATTCACAAATCATACCAATACAAGAAATTAAGATAATAATCAAATCACTATCTAACCAATATAGGCCCACTAGATTTCAATTAGTACCGTAGTACTAATTTTATTATTTAGACCGTTTCGAGACATGTTGACCACAAGTCAACTCTCGGTCAAAGATAGGGTCCACAACTCTACGTAATTCGATCATGAAGATCCGCATATCGGATTTCTGATCCATAACTTCCCAAAGTCCACATTATGCTTCTAGAACAACATACTAAAATCCTATCGTGATCCGAAGGTCGGATCTCCACCAATTACTAGAATTAAGTGGCGATCAACAATTTATTTTACAAACTTAGAAATCCAATTAGGGAAGATCCGTACGTCAAATTCCTGATCCGTAAGTTTCTATGATCTAAAAATATTATGTTCTTATCACATATTAAGGTTTGATGACGATCCAACGGTCGGATCGTTAATTCATATTTTGACCAAGTAAGATATTGTAATGAAACTAAGTCCAAACAATCAAATTACGTCATACGGGTATCAATTATGAAATCAAGGCATCTATTTGAACTTCAAAGGACACGGTCGTCCCACTGGCCAGGCTGCCGCCGCACGCGCCACCACAGGCGGCGGTCGGCCACCCCGACTTACCGGAAAAATTCAACTATTTTTAAAAATTACCAAAATTTATAGAAATAAAGATCTCAATGAGTAGAGTAAGTTTTATATCTGTGGCCAAGTCCAATGTTTCTGGGAAAGGCCCTAAATCAGCTCGCACCCGTTGGAAACCCTAGAATGGGTGAGCTTCAATTTGTCCACTCCGATGTTCCGTCACCCCTAAAACTGATTGGGCTTTGTTCCAGGGCTCAAGGGGAGTCTAATGGTGGTGGAGATTGACGGGATTACATTCAAAAATGGTGGATCACCATCAAACCCTCCCTTGAACTCCGGTGATGTTCCTCGCGAATTTGGACCTAAAAACCCACAATCTTGGGTGGAGATGATATATGGGAAATTGTGGAAGAGGTTGCAGGGGTGGATGTGGCGTTTCAACGGAAAAAATGGCAGGAGGAAGCCGGAATCAAGTCGGGTTGGTGGTGTGTGTGCATGGGTTGGAAGGGAGATAACCCTTTTTTTTTTCCTCCTTTTTTCTCATTGGTTCTTTTCCCCCTTCTTTTCTGATTGGCTCCCTTCCTTACCTCTAATTGGCTCCCTTAAACTCCCACATGGTGGGGGTTTATCTCATTTAAAAACTATAGTTTAGTAGAACAACTTCAAATGTCCGTAACTATACCATTATAATCTGGACTCGCAAACGGCTTTTACCTATACGTTCGTGGTTTCGAGATCTATTCGAAAATATAAATTGTGACCTCCAAAGGTCTACGGATTTTAAATAATTAATTTCCAAACTTCAACTTCGTAATTAGTTTAATTGAAATCTAAATTCAAATAAATTAATATAAATTATCGAAAAATAATATAAAATCTTAATAATACAAATACGTAGATTATAACAGTGAAATCCAAGAATGAGATTTCACACATATAGTGGGAGTCTCCTAAGTTTCCAAGTGAAAAGGATAGTCGAATGAGGTGACTTGATATTCTTGAGTCATTGAAGAAAAAAGACTTCAAAAATTCCTTTTCTTTTTTGGATGTAGCCCAAGCATATATATTTGTTCTTAAGCCCATTTCCTTCTTACTTTTTTGTGGGGAAAAAAAAAAAGTGGTTTAAGTCTTTTCCTTTGTGTACATAGCTTGAATGGTTGAAGCTTTTTCATTTGGGCACATAGCTTGAATGGTTGAAGCTAGTCATAGGACCCCATAAATTAATTTTGTTTAACACTATCTTGATCAAGAGTGTGTGAAGCTTTTTACATGTTGTAGTGTTGATGCTTTTTCCTTTGGGCACATAACTTGAGTGGTTGAAGTTTTTGGGTTGAAGTTTTTGGGTTGAAACTTTGTCGGTGAAGCTTTATAAGTGAAGTTTTTTTGTTAAGGCTATCTCACTCAATTTCAGATTTGCAGTCCATTTTTCTTCACGCGACTTGTCGTGAACCTCTTGGAAGGTGTGAACAGCTCCGGCTTTGGCGGAAACACCACCACCTTCCATGTGTATGCCTTTATTGGCATTGTTACTGGTGGGATCTCTTTCTTGCTAGTTTTTATCAATTTGTGGCTTAGATCTATTTAGTGTTTAATAGAGGAAGGTTGGAGTTTTCTTTTCCATGAATGAGAATTCTTTCCGGATCCTCTTTGTGAGGATTCTGAAAATCCTCTAATCATGTCAGTTCATCGTATATCATGCGGTTATAAATTATTGTAATTTGTTTTATTTAAAATTGAATAAAAACAATACTTGACGAAAACTGGCTGCACGATGTACAATGAACGGATGTGATTAGAGGATTCTCGAGATCCTCACAAAGAGAATCCGGAGAGGATCCTTATTACTTTTCCACCACTTATGGGGCATTGGTTGGCTAGATCTCCGGTATGTTCTGGGGATGGTGTGCACGTTGGCGGATTCCGGTCGATGGCGATGTGGTGCAGGTTGTTTCTAGTTGTTTTGTTTTTTGTTGTTCTGTTTGGGCCCGATTGTCTGTTTGGGCTATGTTTTGCTTGGACGGCTCATTTCTTATTTTGTGCTTGACTTGTAATTGAACCTCCTGTTATGTATAGTTATTGGGTTGGTAACTTAGTAATGAATATACTTTGACCAAAAAAATCCTTAGATTATTTTTCGGTGAAAGAAAAACCCTAAAAATTTGTAAAACATTCCCATTGTATTCGTGTAGAGCTGGCCGCAGTAAAAGAATGTCCATGGAGCTTCAAACCGCCGGAAATCCGAGAAAAATGGCGGTTCACATGGGAAGCCCAATCTCACATCCCAATCCTCCGCCTATTCCTATTCGATTCCTGCACAAAACCCTCGACTCAATGCCGGAAGCTCACCGTCCACATAACCCCCGCAGAGTCTCTGGTCCTGGTGAGCTGGGCCGAGGACGCTCAGGAGGTCTCGCTTAGGGTTCCAATGCCTAGGGTTTTGGTGGACGCTGAGAGTCGCCGGTGAGCTTCAGTGCCCTAGACGATCACATTGAAGTCAAGCTCGTCCTCCTCCTCCCTGTTGATCACCCCATTGTTTTGAGCTTCGATTCTTTACTCAGTTTGGATGGAGGGGAGGAGAAAGCGTTGGAGGGCGAATTGAAGCCGCTTTCGTTGGCTTCTGGTGAGTTGGATTTTTTGCTTCATACGTTTGGTTTTGTTCAATGTTTGTTGTATTAGCTAAATTTGTTTTCTTTGCAGTTGGAAAAATTGATGTGTAAAATAAAAAGACTAGCTTTTTTTGTGTTTTTATGGTTTGATTCCTTATTAAAGTTGTCGTCTGTTCGAAGATTTTAATTAGTTGTCCAATGTTGATAATATTTGCTCAAGACATTGATTCTGGGTTATTGCTTAATGTATTTGGTCTAGTTCAATGTTTGTTTGTTTGTAAGTTGTATTTGAATGTGTGCAGGTAAATTTGCTTTCTTTGCAGGAGGGAAAACGATGTACAGAGAAAGAAGACTACAATTTTTTGTGTTTTTATGGAGTGATTGAGCAAAGTTGTATTAAAGTTGTGGTCTTTTCCTTTTCGATGATTAATGAGTTGGCCCATGTTGGTAATTGTTGATCAATACATTAGTTTTCTGGGATATTGTTGTAAGGGCATGAATTATCATGTTGAAAAGTGTGCACATTTTGTTTTGTTAATGCCTTTTATTTAGGGTTCTGCATAATGATGTACCTCTGTTTTTTTTAATCAGGATTGTTTGTTTTCTTTTCGTGTAAACAAATAATTGCTTCTTTTATGTAACGCTTGGTTGGTCGGTCGGTTTCAGAGGTCAAGAGTCTATCATCGTCTGGAGTTCACTTTTACTGCAGAAATTGCTCGTTTAAGTTGACTGCAAGTCCCCTGAGGTAAGAATTTGTTTTCTTGTTTGAGCTCATTAAATTGTACTTAACTAACCATTGAAAGTCTCTTTCTTGTTTCTTTGTGGTATTTCAACCTTTATTTATGAATGTAGCCAGTTTTGTGGAAATGCCTTCAGTCAATTGGCGAGAGGTGGCTGATAACTGGTTTGGGGCTTGCTGTTGTTCATTTGGAGGCATTAGTGAGAAGCTGGTTGTTAGATATGCAAATTCTTACATGTGTGCAAAGGGTGTCTGCCTGGTGAACTCTACAAATATTACACTATGCAAGGATGATCTTGTTGGATTTGAATTTCCTGACTTGGGTGAATGCCAAAGATACGATAGTGAATCAGATGGAAGTGGTGACAATGGTTTTACCGAGTCAGAACTTAATCTTGGAAGTAATCTCACATGCAATGAAGATTTTGCTGCAGAATCTAAATCTGAAGTTGCTAACGACGAAAGTAACAGTGAGGATGCACCTCATCTCTGCTCAGGATCAGTTTGC